CCTTCCGAATACTTACGCTGCTGAAGCTGCATGATCATCCCAGTACGCGCCATGGCTGTCTTTGTGGCAAGGGGAGTGCCGGTGACGATGTCATGCGGGTCAGTCCGCAACACCTCTTCCTGCATGGCTAGAATACCCTGGAACTTGCCGAGGAGCTCCGCCGAAAACGCTAGGTAAGAATGGTTGAGCGTCTCCGGGAATGCGAAGGTGATGAACACCAGCGCGATCGCAATGTAGCATGCGACCGAAGTCAGCATGGAGTTGAGGAGGGTGTACTGTGCGACCGGGAAAAGCGGACCGAAGCTCTGTAGAGGACAAGAGTGTAAGATAAAGTCGCTATATGCTAGTGTTCACTCACGCAGAATATGTCGATAGCAATCGTGCCGAAGACACTCATGATCGTGAGCTTCGGAGCGTACGCCCTGACAAGCGCGAAGATGAAGCAGCCGAAGCCCATGAAGACTCCGAAGACGACCGTAGACCTAGATGAGTATCAGCGGCTGCCCCAGCAGAGTAAATGCAAGGCCAACCTGGTGTCTAGGAAGTCTCCTCTGAAGATGGCGTTCTGGAACAGCGCGTCGGGGTTGGCAAGACCAGCAGCGCTAAGGGGAACGTCAGTACGCCAGAGGCTTTTCTCGGACGTAACACACACACCTTGTGGCCTCTTTCTGAAGTGTTGCCTTCACCAGTGTTTGATCTCTTACTGCGAGCGCGGCAGCCATACCGGCGCATGATATCGCCCATCCTAGTGCGATACCTAACACCAAAGTCGTGACCGCCTACGGTGCGCAAGTTCAGCTCTTCGCATAAAACGCGAGATATGTGAACACTCACAAAGATGAACAGTTGCACAGGCATGTTCGGCGGTATCATGATGCTCAGCAGCAGCGCGAAGAACGCACTAGCGTGTACCCTCCTTTTCAACCACCACATCTTCCCCGCCACTACAAAAGGCACTCACGTATTCCCCAAGGTCGCTAACGACTTGTTTGGCACCATGATCACGAAACACACCCACGAGGCCACCCAACATCTCAAGAGCAACTTCCAGGACTTCCCCGAACGTAGGTTCTTCGACGCCCAAGGCGGCAGCTTGTCCCAGAGGCTGCCATTTGGTGGTGGAGCAACTGGCGGTGATTCCTTCGTAGAGGGCCCGCCGTTAGGCCGCTTCTCCTCTACGGACATGCCTGGAACATAAACGGTCGTGGCAGAGACGAGGGGGGTAGCGCGGATAGAGGGAACGCGTTTTCAACCACCGATCGCGCGCGGGCGCAAGGCTAGCGAACAGAAGGCGGGTATGCTTGATAGATCCGGGCGGTTGAGCGGGTACTAGGTGCAGATGTGCGTCTCAGGTGTGCTGAGACCTGACCTGGTCGGTGGGCGTGAGCGGGAACAGACGAGGGCGCGCGTACTCGAGCAGGAGAAGCCATAGTATATTGAGCGGGGAAATGTATAGACTCTGGAGGAGCGCGGCTGCAAGGGCGTGCGTTCGCGTCGGTCACGGAGGCGCGGACAGGATCCCCGCCGGCGGCTACACCCCGGCTAGCGTCATCGACATCATTATGGCCGGCCCCCGCACCTCCCGAGGGGACCGTCGACAAAATTAAAAGCACCCATATCCCCTTTGAGCTTCAGAGGTTTGTACGGGTCGCATCTGGATCCAGCGCGGGTTGGTCTAGTATGGTGAGGCAAAATCTAGATGCTGGTGAATCCATGCTACGTTTTACACATGTACAGATTTCTTCTTCCTACTACTCCTCCCTGATGCCGAAACACACTCCGAGTCTCCCAGGAACAGCGCGCGACATTTAAGCCGAGAGCTTCTTGCGGAGGACGCTCTTGAGCGCCTCGCCGTCCTGCGCGAACTTGCGGATACCCTCGTGGAGCTTGTCGTTCGCCATCTCATCCTCGCAGAGTGCCCAGCGGAACTCGGCCTCGTTGTCGACGTACGTGACCTTGGGGATCTGCTCGCCCTTGACAGCTAAAGTTGATGTAATATCAGTACCGTACGCGAGCGACTCGTGCACACGAGTACTGACCTGCGCTGGCGTCGAGCTTCTTGGGGACGGCGGAGGTGTCGTTCTTGAGCTCCTCAAGGAGGTTGGGGGAGATCGTGAGGAAGTCAACGCCCGCAAGAGCGGTGATCTCGCCAGTCTGTTCGAAAAGGGCCATCAGTTAGAAGCCCATATAAACAGCAAGAGGCGCACGCACGTTACGGAAAGAAGCACCCATGACGATCGTCTTGTAGTTGTGCTGCTTGTAGTAGTTGAAGATCTTCTTCACCGACTGCACACCGGGGTCCGCGTCGCCGACGTAGTCCTTTCCGGGCTTGTTCTTCTTGTACCAGTCGAGGATCTGTGCACATGTTCAGTATCCCACCGCTCAACCTCCGCGTGGAGGTCACGTACACGGCCGACGAAGGGCGAGATGAGCGTGACGCCCGCCTCGGCGCACGCAACGGCTTGGCCGAAGCCGAAGAGGAGCGTGAGGTTGCAGTGGATGCCGTCGTCGCGCTCCAGCTCGCGCGCAGCCTGGATACCCTCCCAGGTGGACGCGATCTTGATGAGGATGCGCTCCTTCTTGATACCGAGCGACTCGTAGAGGGCAATGAGCTCCTTCGCCTTCGCCTTGGTCGCCTCCTTGTCGAAGGACAGGCGGGCGTCGACCTCGGTGGAGACACGGCCGGGGATGATCTTCAGGATCTCCTTGCCGAACTCGACAAGCTGGAAGTCGTGGTCAGTTAAGAGAGAACGCAAATCAAGCATGCTCGAGCACTTACGAGACGGTCCATGGCCGCATTGGTCTGGGTCTCGATGTCACCGCCCTTGGCCTTACCGGCCTCGATGGCAGCATCGATCAGGCGCTGGTAAGCGGGCTT